GATATTCAGTTTTAAGGCCGATACCGATAGGGGGCCGATTATATCGTGCATCCCTAATATTATTACCTATATTTGCTCTTATTTTACATTTCATCGTCAATCTAAAGCAGCAGAAAGTAGAAAACAATCATCGTCAGTCTGGAAGGAAAGTTCTGCTCTAAGACAGACTGAGCTCTGCTATTTCCCAAGGAGACACTAAACATCTCTGCTTATTTTTTATTCTTTTTATTAAGATATGAGGTCAGAGGACAAATGGAACATCTAAAAACTGACTTTTGTAAAGATTTTAGACAATTAAAACATTTATTCTACGTGTAGAAAATGAACGGTTGTTGTTGACACAAATTTAAAAGTTGTGTAGCTTAATGTTGCTAACTGAGCAAGCTAAAAGAGGCTAACCTGTTCGCTACAGCTAGCCACAGCACTACCCAGCTCTTTATATCAGGGTCTAACAGTTACTTTGTTCACCAGAAACAGATTTTTGTCAGTTTTGTTATCGATCAGGTGAAACTTCATCGGTCATTAGACACGCTAACGCTACAGATGCTACCGACTCGGCACTCTGATGCTGCGTGATATTATTATCGTTGTCTCGGCAACCACTATGTTTTACATCATGTAGCGTAAATTCACTGGCAGGAAGCAGATCTGGTAGCCACAGCGGCAGCAGGAAATCCCCCACAGGTTGGCTGCAACAGAGAGCTTCCAGCGGGGATTTCCATCGCTGCCTCCCGGCGGGATGCTGGAGGTCTGGAGCTCCCCACGAGAACTCTAGATTTTACTTGGATCATAATCCTGATGAACAGAGGATGGTTGGAGGTGGACTTTCTTGCTTAAAAATGTGTTAAAATAATTTTTCCACCTTATCAAAGTAAATAAAGCCAAACTGCTCTTTAGCTTGAAGCTACAGAACCGAGCAGATAAACAAGCAGAGCAGCAAAGCAACTTCACCACAGTTTGATCCAGCGTCCCAATTTTGGCCTTAAAGCGTTTTCGATGCTCAAAATGCTTTTGGTGTGAACGCAGCCGTACAGCAGGGATGAAAATGAGTGTTTTAAACGTATGCATTAAAGTCATGCATGTGTAACTGTAGTGTATTACTGGGTTATAAGAAGGAGATGTAATTGGAGAGAATGACGGTTGTGCTAGCTTAGTTCATAACTGATAGGAAAGAAGCAAAAGATGCTTTTTACATTTGCAAACATGCACAAAAATAATCAAACCAAAAACCGTTGTGAAGACAATCCGTATTTTGGTCAACACTTCTTTCAGCCTCTGAAAGGGTAGCGAAAGCAACCACAAGGCTCCACAGCTGGCAACGCCACACACGGCTCAAAGGGCCCGGTCCACAGGAGCCAAAGTTTCTGACCGCTCACTCCGCCATGCAGGTGTGGGAGAGGAAACGGCAACAATCTAGACTTCCTTTCTTTTGCTTGTTCTAAATCTAGAACGTAATCTCATCCGGTTACGCCCCAGCAGTGTGGAAAATAAAGGCATTTGGCTGAGAAGTTTGTGCCGAATCCACATTCGTATGCCGTCCGTCCAGGTTTGTTGGATCCTTAAGGCTGGACTTCTTCAGGAACGCTTTCTCCGTTGAGCCTCGGATATAAAGTCCATCTGACTGGAAGAAAACACTTCAGAATCCACCCAAAGCTGCTCGGATAACAAGGTAAAGAAGGAACTCATCCTGCAGCTAGCTTGGCTCAAAGCTGTTGTGAAGTCACTTCCTGTCTGCTCTTAAAGCCTCCTTTGGCACCAGGTTATCTATAAGTTCCCAACTCCAAAACAGTACCGTTGGAAAGTTAATATCTTAGTAAAATCCTCATCTATATTTGTTCATTTCCAGAACAAACTCAAGGTAAAGTCAGCTGCTGAAAGAGGATTCACCTTCAGTTATTTAGTTTCCAAGAGGCTTCCAGCTCCTCAGGTGGAACATCTCTCTAGTTTATTGGTTTTAATATAATGTTTGTTTTGTTTATAATTCACCAGAGTGGAATGAAGAGCGTTGGGAATCCATCCATGTAATCAGTTCAACTATATGAAGTGTAGCGGCATGTGTCGGTCTAAGCTTTCCTGTTTGGGGAATTCTTCCCCACAGACGGGACAACCAAACGGCTGCCCTCCCATATGAACAGCGATGTGTGAATCCAGGTGAGTTTTCCTGGAGAAGTTTTTACCGCAGAAGTCGCAGCTGTAAGGCTTCTCGCCGGTGTGGACCACCATGTGCGTGTGGAGATACGTTTTACGGTTGAACCTTTTCCCGCAGACTTCGCAGCCAAAAGGCCTTTCCTCACTGTGGGTGGTCATGTGACCCCTAAGGTGCGTTCTACGTTTGTAGCTTTTTCCGCAGATCTCACAGCTGTGCGGTTTCTCTCCGGTGTGAACGGCCTTGTGCGCCTTCAGGTTGGTCTGCCGGTTGAACTTTTTCCCACAGATATCGCAGCTGAATGGCTGTTCTCCTCCGTGGACGATCATGTGTGTTCTCAGGTTGTTCTGGTGCCGTGCTGCTTTTCCACAGATGTTACAGATATAAGGTTTCTCCCCTGTGTGGATTCTCATGTGCGTCTTCAGATTGTGCTGATGCTTGAATCTTTTACCACAAACTTCACAGACGAACGGCTGCTCCTCTGAATGGACCTTCATGTGTTTCTTCACGTCATGCTGGTGCTTAAATCTTTTCCCACAAACGTCACAGACAAACGGCTGCTCTCCTGTGTGCACTCTGATGTGGGATTTCAGACTAAACTGATCTCGGAACTTTTTACCACATTCATCGCAGCTGAAGTTTCTTTTTCCTACGTGACCTTTGGCCTTTGGACCTGGAGGCGCCATGGCTTCAGAACAATTGGGATTAACGGAACCGCTTGCTTTCCATCCACTTTCCTTCTCAGTCAAAGGTTGCTGCCAATAATCGTAACCATCGTCTTCACTAATATCTGTCTCAGAGGAGTCCGCAGCCTTTCTGTCTGAACGCTTTTTGAAATGTTTCGGACCGGGCTTCCAGACTAGTTCCAGCTGTGCGCAGTCCCCATCAGTTTCTGTTTTGATCCATTTAACGGTGCTGGTGGTCGGACGCTCTGTCTCTGTGGAATCATCAGTTTTACTGGGATGAAGCTGTGAGGATTCGGGCTCCTCTTCATCATCATACTCACTCTTCACAATAACGTTGAGCGGGAAGTTGATGTATTCAGTCTCATCTTCTCTATCCGTCTGCGCTTCTTCTTGACTTGTCCAACTTTGATCAACTTCTTCCTTTAGGAAGGAGGACTCGGACTCCTGCTCATCCAAACTGGGGCTCCAGGGAAGCTCTTCTTTATTCACTGAAGGAGAATAAACATCTAAAGGAAAACAAAACAGAACATTAGGAAACTGAAGCTTCTGCATCTTATTTAATCTTTTATGCTTTGAGCCTAAAGCAAGGAAGGTACGTTTATTTCTAAAACACTCAGATTTCAGGACTACCAGGATTTTATTTTTGCCGCACAGAGGCCACATCAATCTTTAGGAGGTAATTGTTAAGGTCAGCCAATGAAAAACTAAACAAAATAAATCTTAAAAATAAAGTGAGCTGATTTTTTTTTTATTCAGCTGATAAAAAAATACAAAAATAAAGTAAGCTGGTAAAAAATAATAATAAAAAGTTGGATAAATCAAAAAATAAACTGAAAAAAATAAAACAAATGAAGTCAGCTGATGGAAAAAAATAATAAAGTTAGCTGATGAAAATAAAAGTGGAGTAAGAAACGCAGATTGATCATCAGTTAACTCCTCGCTACGCTCAGGAGAGGAGAAGGAAGGGTTGAGTGGAGGCCGATGCACGGCACTAAAACATCCTGTCATCCAGTCTTTAGTGATAAGATGCATGAGAATTTAACTGTGCAATTAATTACGTAATATATGTATAAAACGCCAGAACAAAGAGCTGTACATAGTAAACTACTATAAGACAAATAAAACTAAAACTTCACAAAAAGACTTAAAGGCACACTATGCAACATTTTTCAGTTAATTAATGTGTTCCATATCGTTTTG